TCTCTCTCTCACTGTATAAAGCTCTGTGTGCCCTGCTCGCTCTCTCTCACTGTATAAAGCTCTGTGTGCCCTGCTCTCTCTCTCTCTCACTGTATAAAGCTCTGTGTTCCCTGCTCTCTCTCTCACTGTATAAAGCTCTGTGTGTCCAGCTCTCTCTCTCACTGTATAAAGCTCTGTGTGCCCTGCTCTCTCTCTCTCACTGTATAAAGCTCTGTGTGCCCTGCTCTCTCTCTCACTGTATAAAGCTCTGTGTGCCCTGCTCTCTCTCTCTCACTGTATAAAGCTCTGTGTGCCCTGCTCTCTCTCTCACTGTATAAAGCTCTGTGTGCCCTGCTCTCTCTCTCTCACTGTATAGAGCTCTGTGTGCCCTGCTCTCTCTCTCTCTCACTGTATGAAGCTCCGTGAGCCCTGCTCTCTCTCTCACTGTATAAAGCTATGTGTGCCCTGCTCTCTCTCTCTCTCACTGTATAAAGCTCTGTGTGCCCTGCTCTCTCTCTCACTGTATAAAGCTCTGTGTGCCCTGCTCTCTCTCTCACTCACTGTATAAAGCTGTGTGCCCTGCTCTCTCTCTCACTGTATAAAACTCTGTGTGCCCTGCTCTCTCTCTCACTGTATAAAGCTCTGTGTTCCCTCTCTCTCTCTCACTGTATAAAGCTGTGTGCCCTGCTTTCTCTCTCTCACTGTATAAAGCTCTGTGTTCCCTGCTCTCTCTCTCACTGTATAACGCTCTGTGTGCCCTCTCTGTATAAAGCTCTGTGTGTCCTGCTCTCTCACTGTATAAAGCTCTGTGTGCCCTGCTCTCTCTCTCACTGTATGAAGCTCTGTGTGTCCTGCTCTCTCTCTCTCACTGTATAAAGCTCTGTGTGTCCTGCTCTCTCTCTCACTGTATAAACCTCTGTGTGTCCTGCTCTCTCTCTCACTGTATAAAGCTCTGTGTGCCCTGCTCTCTCTCTCTCTCACACTGTATAAATCTCTGTGTGCCCTGCTCTCTCTCACTGTATAAAAGCTCTGTGGCCTTTTCTCCCTCTCTCTCTCTCATATAAAGCTCTGTGTGCCCGCCTTCTCTCACTGTATAAGCTCTGTGTGCCCCTGCTCTCTCTCTCCTCACTGTATAAAGCTCTGTGTGCCCTGCTCTCTCTCTCTCACTGTATAAAGCTCTGTGTGCCCTGCTCCCTCTCTCTCACTGTATAAAGCTCTGTGTGCCATGCTCCCTCTCTCTCACTGTATAAAGCTCTGTGTGCCCTGCTCTCTCTCTCACTGTATAAAGCTCTGTGTGCCCTGCTCTCTCTCTCACTGTATAAAGCTCTGTGTGCCCTGCTCTCTCTCTCTCACTGTATAGAGCTCTGTGTGCCCTGCTCTCTCTCTCTCTCACTGTATGAAGCTCCGTGAGCCCTGCTCTCTCTCTCACTGTATAAAGCTATGTGTGCCCTGCTCTCTCTCTCTCTCACTGTATAAAGCTCTGTGTGCCCTGCTCTCTCTCTCACTGTATAAAGCTCTGTGTGCCCTGCTCTCTCTCTCTCACTGTATAAAGCTCTGTGTGCCCTTGTAACGAGAATATACCCCTACACGCAGGATCCAGCTAAACAGAGGCAAATACAGAGGAGAGATACGTCTACCGGACCTTAGAATGGCCGGACTTGACGTATATGAGAGAAGACAGAGCCAGAAACAAACCGAGGTCAAG